ACTTTTTGCCTGTCCAAGTCTCTTACTCTCTCATTTATCTTTGTAACTGTTATAATTCAGTGTTGTGGCATTTTAACTGAATTATAATTTCAGTTTCTGAGACAGGAATACGTGCAGGATGAAGGACAAGATCCGTTTCAATCTAATGATTGAAAAGCATACTTAAATTAACCTGGGAATAAATATATTAAAAAATGTCCTTTTGCTCCCCAGGTTGGTGTTGTGTAAGCTGAGTATGTTCTATCATAGATGTATTTTCACAGTTGGGACTGTTTCCTCAGCACAGGCACTGAAATTGTGTTTTTCAGATCTCAAAACTAATTGAATATTCCTGGAAGAAATAACCAAGGAAAATGTATATTCAACAAGTGCCCTGTCAATCAAAATCAACTTACAGTGGGAAAAATGCAGTGTCAGTGACTGCTTCTTCCCTTTGGTGCTTGCCAGAAGCACAAGACAAACTGAACTGTGGTAACCAGCCGGGCTGAGGAATGGGCCGAGGGGGACAGGCATCATAAAAACTTACCAGTCTGAAGTTGAAAGGGCAGGCACCGGGGGCACAAAGATTTGAACTCACGTTGATACTTTGCTGTGGTATCTTACTGGAGGCGCCCAGAGCGGGGCATTAGTCATCGACCTGGGTGCCATTAACAAATTATTCAAAACCAGGTGCAAAAGATTGGATTGATTGAGTTAGGCAGGAACAATGAAAGCGGTTTCTTAGTTTCTCAGAATTCAGCTCTTTAAGATTGGCTTTAAATAATGTAGTTATCGTTAAACTTTTTATAGCACAATTATATATTTCTATAAGATATAGATAAGATATATATTTATATCTTAATATTTCATAACAGATTTTCCCAATGGGAGCCCTTAAAGATATTCTTTTTACAAGTCTCAGCAGCTCTCCCTGTTTCAGTGAGAATTAGTTGTGGTTTTAATAAATGATCTTTGAAACAAACAAGAGGAAATTCCTTTGAATACCATTCTTTCACTATGTACATAAAAAGAAAAATCTACCATCTAGTAAATTATGCATCTGAATTAATCAACCTAATAAGTAAATACTCTTTTTTTCCCAGTCAGGCAGGAATATGACCAGTGCATCTGTCGTATGGACCAGAGAGAATAACCAGAAATCTTAAAAAAAATAAGGTCAAGGCATTACTAATACTCTAAAAGGCTCAGTTGTAAAAACTGTGTGTTATAGGATGAACTGCCAGCCATTTATATGTCTCAGTCATCAGAGCAGTCACACTGGGCCAGGTCAAAGGTAGCTCTCACCAGAATCCTGGCTCCTGCTCCTGTTAACGTAAGCCTATTCCTGAACCCCAAAACCTTCCTCAACAGGAAAAAAGGGAAGCGCGCATTGTCTGCACACCTTGGTGGATGCTTGATAAGATGAACTAGCATTTTGCAGATCAAAGTTATGGATGAAGACGAGGGAGATAATGAGATAATAAATGCTTCTGTGTATCTGGAAATAAATGTGTTTCTCTTCAGAAATAAAACCTGAACAAAATCCAGTAACCAGTAGCAAGTGTCTGAGACAGGCAGAACAGAGCAAACCAACCATGACCCTTCTCTGGTGGAGTGACCAACAGACAGGAAAAGTTGCTATATCATTGAAAAGTGCCAAGCAGTAATTGGGAACCTTACATGTCTTTGGAAGCTTCTGTTTGGGTGGCACCTAGAAATGCCTCCATCATTGTGGAGATGATGAGGCTCTGGTGTCACGTAAAAATACAAATCTGATACCAAAAGCTTTAAGGCATCCAGACACATTTTTGTTCTGCAGCCTACATTACTTATCAAGATGAGCTAAAATCTTCATTGTGGTATTTTGAAGTCAGATAGTTAGCCACTGATTACACTAGGGTCACATCTCACTTTGTTTCTCTTTGCCTTTTGGTTTGGGTTTGGTTTGTTTTTAATTCCACCATCTTCTATCCTTTTCATTCTTTCAGCCTTTTTTAGAGGACCACCAAACAATCTCTTTCAAGCTCGGTTGCCTGGAAAGATAAAGAAAAGAAGATTTTAGCCGGGAATTCTTCTGCCAACTGTCTAAGACAAATTAAGTAATTTAATTTTCAGATTTTGCATGAAATGCGTTGGTTTCAATATACAAATCTAATTCACTTAACTTTGCAGTTATGAAAAGCATTTCTAGGGCCATATTCTACGTTCTCTTTTCTGGTGAACACTACCCAAGGAATACTAATTAGAGTGCTTGAGGAGTAAGGTAAGCAAGGCTGGCAGAGTCTGAGCTTTTATTTACTCTGTGTTATCTTTGTCCAAATGTTCAAAGCAATATGGGTGGTGACTGATTCACTAGTAAATTCAAAACAGCATGTGTGTACAAAAGGCTGCCAAGTTTCTCATGTATATTGCTATTTGTGAGAAGCTATGCACAGACAAAAAACAATCAACCAGTTTCTTAATTTCATTTTATATCTTTATTCCCATTGTAAGTATTAACAATCATCCAAAAGACCATTTAAATTTGGTTTGGATACACAATAGCATTAATCACAGTCCAGTTTTGTTTTGTGTTTTTTTACTGCAGTTCTAGTATTTTGTGATCTGTTTTAGTAGTTCTGTTGTTGGTGTATTTGCTTCCAGCAAAATAGATTTTTCAGTGTTTGTAGATTATTTTAAAAGATCGTTAAAGATAAAAAAATCCATAATGCAATGATTAACAGTACATTAATAAAGCTAATTATCTTCCATTTAAGATTAGTAATAAGTATGTTTGATGACCTGGCACTTACACTTTGTTGTGCATTGTCTGTTCTCTTTTCAAAATAAGTCCATAAACAATGACAATATAATTTTTCATTACAGCTGTTTATTGCAGTAACATTTTTAATTGGATTGAAATTCTTTTAAGAGAATGAGGTAAGTAAAACAACCCCACACAGTAAAAGGTTCTGTTTAAGCAAATGACAAGTTACACACAATCCAACGCTAAGGCAGTATCACAACGTATAGATTAGAGTGGATGGAAAACATAAAGGATTTTCTAAATTCATTTGCTTATTATTATGTGGGGAAAACACATCACGGACTGTATTTCAGTCTTCAAGAAAAGAAGAGTCACAAAATACAGTCAAAGAGACATCTTTCCTCATATCTTTTAAAAGCCTGTGAGATTAATTCCTTCATCAAATTCATTAATGTAAAAGTGAATTCAGAAAACTTGTTTGTGCAAGCGGTCCTGTTAAATTATGAATACCAATAATAAATTCTTTAGTTCCTCATTTATTTGCATACTTTGCATACGAACAGGCATGAAAATATGCCTATTGTTTAGCCATACAGAGAGCTAATATGTATGCTTATGTTGTATGATGTCAGAAAAGGACAAATTCTTAATCAGAGTAGAGAGGAAAGAGAGGCAAAGAGGAAAACAGATGATGCATGAGAACTTTGTTAGTGTTCTTAGGATGACTTCGTTAGTGTTCTTAGGATGACTTCTGTGTGCAAGAAAATGTGTGCTTTGGATATAGAATAGTCAGCTAACAACTCTTTATTTCTTGTGTAATGAAGTAAGTTTGGGGTCAACATCAGCTTCTAAAAGGGATTTAAACCAGAGATACAGATAGTTAGGTGAAGGAAAAGAGGAAAGGGGAAGGGGACTGAGCCCTGATCATACTACCCTAAGTTTTGTCTGAGCACCAGAGGGAGTGGAACATAGTGGGACTAAGAGGAGGAATGCCAATTTCAGAAGGAAACTGGCTGAACTGACAGCGCTCTGGCTCAGGACAGACTGAATGGGGGGCTCACCGCACACTTCTGGCGGGCCTACTTCCCTAAGACCTTATTCCAGTCATAGCAGGTACGTAAGACATTAACCTAGCCCTTTCACAAGTTGCAGGAAAGCTGGAATTCCTGCGTCTGATGCATAGGGAGGTACAGGTGTTTTCAGGGACTGTCCTCTTTTTGTATTGCTCTTAGTGGTTGTGGTACCTGGAGATACTCCACCTAGTAACCATTCACCATTTTACCCTCCTGTCACAACTTTCCACACTTGAATATCAATGTAGCATTTATTTGTACTCATAACATTCAGTTCTCTTCACTACTATTTAATACATACATAATGTTAACCAGCAAGAGATGCAAATTGTAATCTTGTAGATGAGCTAACAGAATCTTCCTATTTCTCCATTACCTACAGATTGCATTGTGAAACATCTTTTCCGGTCTTAGCTCTTCCTTTAAGCATGCATACGCACATACATGCACACACACACACACACACGTGCAAACACAAAGAGTATGTGTAATACAGTACTCAGAGGAGTTATTGGACCTACTTCGAAACAACGGCACATAGGTGTTGGAAGAAGTGTGGCACTAAGGGGTGCTACAGCCAGAGCATACCGCATCTGGAGAACTGGGTTTAGCAGCTCGTGGCCCCCATGCACATCTTTTCTTTGTTTCAAGGTTACCTTCATTACATGGAGGATGGGGACCTGACCCTTCAAACACTTCTTGCACTGTGCGTTTCTGTTGATGTCAGGAAGGCTACATTGTATAATGAACTCTACATTCACTAATAGGTACAGCAGCAATGTTTAAATAATTTCATATAATGAACAAGAGCTGTGCTTTAGGATTATTTTACCTTAAATCAAATTTCAGTCATGCAGTCCTAGAGTACAATACATATGCATGGTTACAGATAATTCCGCATGAAGACTGAATGCTTTGGTGTCCTCTATGCACCTTTTTAAACAATCAGTACCTCACAAAAATGTTTCAGTATCATTCCTCACATTATATACCCAGTGCACCTCAAAATGATTTGTATTTCATTTTACACTTTATACATAATATCAGATTTGCATTTTAAGTATCAAAAATATGTTGTTAAAAGATCTTAATAGTAAATGTCATAAATTAAGAGTTTTCATCAAAGGGCAAAGTGATTCAAGACCTTTGGTGAATGGATGATGAAAAAGAAACATTCCAAAAGCTACACATGATTCATAGACTTATGCTACCAACAGCTGCCCAATCAGCTCCGGGTTTCTGTCCTTTATTAATGCCATGATAAGGGCAGCGGCAGAATTTACTGTCTCCTGAAGCAGCAAATGGTCCTGGGGAAAAAAAAAAAAAGGAGAGGGGCAAACAATATGTTAACAAAAGTGGAAAAGGTAAGTATTTAAAATAAATTTCCAAGTATGCAAAATTACCATACGATTGTTGAAAAAAAGTAAAAACATTTATTTGCACTTACTAGAAGAAGAATTTCTAAAACTTGTATTTTAAGGAAATACAATTTCATAGTTATGTCCATTTTCCAATCTCCATGATGATTTAAAACACAAAATTATTTTTTAAAAAGGAATATATTTTAGCTGCTTGAATTAGTGCCATCTATCCAGAGACCACCAAAACAGAAGCTTGGTTTTGTTACTTGCTTCTTAACTGGTTTTTAAAATCTAAAAGGTAGTCAAAATTTTGGATTTGAAAACATTGGAACAAAATTGAGGATTTAATTGAGTAGCATAGTTAATATAACTTTAAGTACCCACTGAATTCCATCTGTAGTCTACAAGCTACTTAAATTCACAAAGGCATTTAAGCACTGGGACTTCAGTAGTTGAGGCTGATCTTTGTAACAAATAACTTTCAAAAGTAGTCTGGTTTTGATAGGCAAGTATAGAGACCAACACAGGAAGAAGTAATAAACTGAGACTTTGATTCCACGCTTCCAAGCACTCCAGCTCACATTTGAAAGAGTCCTTTGTCTAATTGCCAAGGTTTCTTAATTGTATTGACTATAAAAGGTTGGCCTCTTGCTACCAGTAACATTTTCATTTGCGCACTGGGAAAACATTGGTAGGTGTAGCCAGGCACGGACGCATCCCTGGAGAGAGAAATAGGAGGGAACAATTCCTGTGAACCAACACAGAAAAAGGAAAGTCTGCAAAACTCTAGGGAGAATCTAGAAGAGTTTCAAATACAGAAGGGAGCTATAAAGAGAAAGCAAGAGCTGTTCTCTGCATCACAGTGGATAAAACTGGAAGCAATAGGCTTAAGGGAACTTAAAACTGGGATATAAGAAGTCAGGAAAGTGTTTTAACAGTAAGGACTGGTATACAATGCAACAGAGTATTGGACAGACAAAGGAAACTCCATCATGAGGGTGCTGTAACATGAGACCCACATACATGTAAAATGGGATGCAGGTAGAGCTTCCTGCCTGGGGCAGGCAGCTGGAGCAGTCTGATTCTCTGTCTTTTCATCACTACTTTTCTAAGATGCTGCATCAAGGAATAATTGGTAGATGACAAGTTTAAGACACTTGGATTAATGGAGAAAGAGGAAATGGTTTCAACAACTTATATAAAAACATAATGTTAATCACTGCTTTTTAAGGAATAGGCTACTGCTGAGGGGACCTACCTGTTCAACCAGTACAGAGGGGAGCTGCAGACTAAGAAGTTGGGGCTGAAGGAAAAATTGATAGGGGAAAAGTATGCCTGGGACACTCTAAAATATTTAGCATTATGTTTTATAATGGTCTTACTAACTTTTTTGCTTTACGTAAATGACAGGAAAAATGCTAGAGAGGTAAATGGATAGAATTAGAAATAGCTAGTTTATACCCGGTTCTTTTATCATTCCTGGAAAAATGATACTTGCATGTGACTAGATTTTTATCCAAAAAATGATCAAATAAGTGAGCTGTTACAATTTGTAACCCCCCAAAAGATTACACTCCTCACAAATTCATGTTATATATTCTAATATGCAGTAAAATTATTAATAGTGGTCTAAAAAATTGTCTTAGAGTAAAACCGTTCACCATGGCTGTGTCTTGCTGTTTACCGAGTGACACCTCCCATCCAGTTACACAAGGAGCGCAGAAGTCTGGTCCTGCTCCTCCAGTCCCTTTTGTCATGGACTGAGGGTGCAAAAAGAGAAGCTCGGAATCCACTACTCCAGCTTGGGAGGGGTTTCACTCCCCTATTTCCCATGGGTATATACTGCTGTACAATGTACAAGGAGAGCGGAAGTCACGTGCATACACCCACTCAGACGGAAAACCCTGCTGTCGCTTTCAAGATCTAGCAACACATTTCTTGATATTCAGCAGTGCCAATCTCTCTGCACCCCTCATTGCGTTTTGTTCAGTTTGCCTCGAAGAAGCGCTTCACAGTTACGGACACTGTTTTCCAAATGGGCTTCCAGCCATATCTGAAGTTGGCTGGAGGTGTATTTTTTTTTCCCATTTCACAAAAAAGAAAAAAAAAAAAATACACCTGGCCAGGAATGCTCTTAATGTTTCTCCCAATAAATCTTTCCACATCCTCTGTTGGTTACTGGATTCAGCACACATTCCTTTGCAGTAATAAATTATTTAAGTTTTTGAACATAAAAGGAAGGAAGAGAAAGAAATTTAACTTTCACAGGAGAGATTGAAAGTGACAAGTAAGACTTTTTTTAGACTGAAAAAAGCTTTTTCCCAAGCCAAACATAAGGCTTTAGTGCTAATTTCCATGTTCTGAAGGAAAGACATGCAAAAAATTATGACCAGTATTTGTAACACAGGCAACGCGGCACAGTAATGTGTACAGAAACCTGCATGCAGAAGTGGTCTATAAACCACACTGGAATAGACTGGTGAATTGCAATTTGTTCAAAAAGAGAAACACAAAAAGTAAGCAGCGCCAATTAAGATGCATTTTCAAGTTTTACAACTACTCCACCCCTAATAATCTGATTATTAGTAGTAGTATTATTATAACTATTCAGGAAACCTCCTGGTTCCTGTCTCTCTCAAAATCAATCAATACAATGGCAGGAACAATGAACTGTCAGACAGGATTGGCCTCTGTGCAGGACTGGTCCCTGTCAGTCTGTTCTTTGGAAATAAACAGAAGTGTATTATTTAAGTGAATATACAAGATCTTAAATAAGATAAGAAATGTAATAGAATGAATAGATGTTCTTCACTTTATGCAGTTACAGCTGATGGTTAAATGACATCATGAAGCATGTACTGAAGCTTTCAACAGGGCAACCCTTTAAAGTATTTATCACCGGGATTACTAATCTTTAGATTTATGCTGTCGCTCCTTCCCAGTAACACTGTCCCAGACTGATCTCAGGGTCAGCTATTGACTGAACAGTGTCCAGCACCTGGGCCTGCGAGCCCAGGCAGGAGAAATCAGTGCCACAAAGGTCAAGTATGTGCCAATTTTACCTTGCTTTATTCTCACAGCCACAGTCTTACTGGAAAGATGTAGTAAATAATGCAAAAAACTGGACTCTTCCAGGAATTTCAAAATCATTGTATATCCTGTATCTTTCTGAGAATCAAAACTCGCTCTTATGCTAGGAATCATCACTGTAGTATCCGGTTGTCATAGCCTGTGCATAATTTATAACATTTGTTGATCAATTCTAGTCCTTATTATCAAGAAAAAGAGAACAGAAAAAGAAATTTTAGCAACTGAAAGAGAACATGCTGTTCAAAGTGTAGGCATAACGCTGACTGACACAATAGTTAAGTCATATCTTAAGTGTTCTTTCCTCTCCTCTGAATCCTGATGGGAATTTATTTCATTTTAGGCCATTACTGTGTATGGAAGCGGATGTTTTCAATGTGCCACAATGATACTTAGCTTTTTCCTAAGTAGTTATAGGTAATTTAGAGGCCAGCAGTGTTTATGAATAATATTAAAAAGAATTTAAGCGACAGAATTCAACAACAACCCAGGAAAGAAAAAGAATCTTGTGGGTCTTTATTAATTTGAAGTTAAACAAATAAGCGAACACTGCAAGTCCCCCGGCTATACCCTTAAAACACCCATGTTTCTGGCACTGCAATGTTATTTCTGGCAACAGTGCTGATTACAGCTGATAGTGCCTACAGGGAGGCTTCAGTAAGGATGCCAGGACAAATTTAATCTACCACACCTAACTCCATGGCACATACAGGCCTCCGATCCTCTTTTACATTCAATGGCATAGCATTAAATCTTTCAAAAATCTCACTATTAGATGCAGGAAGTCAAATAATCAAGCAGAACCAGGTCTTCACATGTCTAACTGCCCGACGTGTTTGCATATATTGTAACGATGATAAAAACCAGGATGTCAGAACAGAACGATCAATAGAAGTCCCCGCGTAGCCCACAAGAGCTCTCGCACGTTATTGCCCACCCACTGCTCAGTGTTGCAGACTCCAGGCAGAGAACATACTGCAGCACACTCGTCAGGAGCGCGTATCCGGGCACGCGCCGGATGGATCAAACGCGAATCGTTCTTTCCCTCATCAACGAAATCCTTAAAAAAGACCGTGACCTTTAAATAAGAGTTGGAGGCAGTAACGACTTTAATGGATTAATGACTGTAGTTCCACACGATCAGCTGGTGTGCCATGATCCTCTCGAAACCATTGTGATATTCACTGTCTATTCATTTCATCCAGTTGACTTAAATGAGTCTCTTGTAAAAAAGAAAAACCAAAAACCCCTAACATTTCTTGGCCATTAATAAATAGAATTTTTTATTGTTTGAACAGATGATTAACTACATTTATAAGCTAAAAACAAAACTTTTACCACTTTATATTTATGTACTTTGGAAAAGAAAGTACTCAGAAATACTGCCAATCTTATAAACCATAAATCCACATAACAGCACTTTGATTCCAAAATAAAATATCCACTTTGTCTGTTATTAAATAGTAAAAATATTCCAACATAACTGTATTGTGTGATGGTTGTAACTCATACTCAGAATTTATTTGATGTAGAGTTACTGACTGTAGGGGTTTTCTGGTCTGCAGAATAAGACTGGGAATGGATACAGGGACAGAGTTAAAGTTGTGTTTGGAATATGCAATCTGATATTTTACAAATGTGCATTTATTTAAGAAACTGTGAGGATATCTGAATATTTACTGACATTCCCCTAACGATTCATTTCCTTGTTTCAATCTGTTGAGGATTTATTTTTTTTCCCCCCAGATGGAACTTCACATACATGTATTTCAATTTACATATGTACTAGTTCAGTTTAAGCATAGCTTGAAAAACACATACTACCCTTTATAGCTCAAAAAAAAAAAAAAAAAACCAAA